TGTGTGTGTGTGTGTGTGTGTGTGTGTGTGTGTGTGTGTGTGTGTTGTGTGTGTGCGTGTGCGTGTGCGTGTGCGTGTGCGTGTGCGTGTGTTGCTTGTGCGTGTGCTTGTGCTGTGCGTTGTGCTTGTGCTTGTGCTGTGCGTGTGCTGCTTGCGCGTGAGCGTGAGCGTTTGCATGTGTGAGTGTGAGTATATCTGCGTGCATGAGTTTCTGTACGTTCTAAAATCTTTTTAACGTCACACGATTAAGAAGGAAATTCGAACCAACTAAAACATCAACACCAATAACAACAGGAAAAAAAAACTGATGATTTAAAAAGAAAAAAATACGTACACCTGGGGAAGGACGTGTCATAGACCGTGTCGTTGGAGAGCAGGTTATCGAAGGTTATGGTGACGACGGGATGGGCCGACGACATCTCCAGGTGGGTCATGAGTGGCACCTTCTGGTTTGGCACTCCGGTCGCGACCACGGTCCACCGGCCGTTCGGGTCCTCCTCAACCTCCACGTGGATGTCTACCAGTTTCTTCCACGTCTCGAGCTGATGTGGAAGAAGCGGCATTTAAGTCCAAAGTCAAGACTTGTAGATGTGATGAATTGTGTGGAATTCATGATGAACAGATTGCAACAGGAACAACGAAGGGAAGGGCAAGAAACACACGAATATATGTGTTTTCTTGCCCTTCCCTTCGTTGTTCCTGTTGCAATGTGATGAATTATGAATATTAAGCAATAAGCATTTTATTTAATCATTTAATTGGCTATAAATCGGCAAAGTCCTGTGTCTCGGTGTGTATGTTATGGATTATCTAAAGAACTGGATGTTGCATGGAGAGGAAAGATAATAGGTATAATACAATGGACAAAACAAAGTACAGTGTCGAGATGTGAAGTTGACTGGATAAGCGATTCTTGATAAAATATACTGATAAATAGAAAATGAAATAAGAATAATTTCACTACCCTTTCGACGCCGGATCAGGCATAAATGGAAATAAGGGAAGGGCATACCATGGGGGTTCGAATAGATACTTTTCCAGTTTCAGTAACTCGCAAATAAGGCGACTATTGTTTCCAATATAAAAAGAAAAAACCAACCTGCACTCTACAATACATTGATTCGCCTATTTTTCGTTTAATTTCTTATCACCAGCCACGTAACACTAATATTTTCCATACATCTGATACTTATGAAACACTTATACAATATTTTCAGTGCTTTACACCACCTTATTATATTTTCTTCTCAATTTTCTCTAAAAGGAAGCAACGAATCGGAGTTACCAACTGTTCATTTTCCCAATACTACACGTATTAGTCACTCGCCGAAGCATACAACTCAACCAGTACTCAATACTCCAATTCACCGTCTCTCTATTGTTATCATAACTATCTCTATTGTTCTTCTAATAATCTGACTCTTAACACTTTTAAGTATTCTTAAAACTCATACATAACAGCATTTCCTATCGCTTTAAACCTTTATATTATCTTTATCTCAAAAGAAACAACGAATCGGAGTCCTCCATCGTATAGAGTGAGTTGCCAGCTGGCCCTTTTTCCCGAGACTATATAAAGCAATCACTCACCGAAGCATGCACAGTCTTCTGCATGCGATCGAGGGCGGCCAGGAGCTTGGCTGTCTGGTCGTGGCCGGTGATGTTAGTGTAGAGGAAGTTCTGGAGGAGGGCGTACTTGCCTCCGCCCAGGGTCAGGGAGCCGTTGGTTCGAAGCTCTAACCTGTTGGGAAGGATGGCGGGTTATTCCAATGGCCATTTACTTTCTCTCTCTTTTGTTACGGTACTGATACTGGTAATAATAATAATAGTAACAACAGTACAATGATAGTGATAATAATAATGACAATAATAGTGATTATGATAATAATAATAATAAAAGTGATAACAACAAACTAATAATGATAATAACAAAAAACAATAATAATAATAATAACAATAATAATGATAATGATAATTTAATAATGCTAAATAATAATAATAGTATCAATGATAATAACAACAATAATACAAACAATTATACTAATAATGATAACAATAATAAAATCAATAGCAACAATGTAAACAATGATGATAATAATAAAAATACAAATAATGATGACAATTACAAAAATAGTAAACCATAAATATTACAACTGACAAATAGGTATACATTTAGGTGCATATATATGTAACTTAGCATACATACACACACTGCGACAAATGTGAAAATACAAATGAAAATAAATTACTCCAGAATGCAAGATGTGTAAAAGTGAAACGTCGATCACATATTCTTGCATTGTAGAATTAATCATTTTCACCTGTACTACATATAAACTTTATAACTAAGTACTTGTTTAATTTACCTTTCCATTCATACTATTTCTACACTTCAGTAAAACGTAATCGTAGAATTGATCATTTGCTCTGAACTAATCCTAATCCTCAGAAAGAATTAAATGTAGAATAAAACATTTTTACACATACTATCTCTACACTTCATTACAATTTATTTGTAGAATTAGTGATTTTCATTGACATATTTCCTACACTTTGGCGCAACGTAATTGTAGAATTAATCATATTCATTCACACTATATTTACTCTTCAATACAACGGAACTATAGACATATATTTTCACAGATAATTCCTACACTAATGCGCTATGTAATTACAAAATGAATCCTTTGTATTCATCCTCTCTCTACATTTCAGTAATACGTAAATAAAAAAACGAACCGTTTTATTCATAACATTTAAACACCAGAAATTTTCATTCATAAAGTTTCAACACCTCAGCATTACGCAATGAATAATCTTCATTCATAAAATATCAAAATAGCGTAAACAACCACGATACGCACTGCGAGGCCTGGTGCCCGAGGGACGCCTTGGTACTGAAGAGCGCTGCGCCTTCGTGTGTTGTGTCCCTCGTAACGAACAGCTCCCCGATGACGTCATGGTGCTCTTCAGGAGAATATTGGAGCTTCATAATAAAGGCCAAGAGTTCCCGGAGGTTCTGGCGTAGCTCAGCGCTCAGTTTGATGTCCTGGAAGAGTGGGGTTTGTTGAGGTGCGTTTGCTAATCTAGATTTATTTCTGATCGTTTTATAATTATCATTATTATCTCCACCAAGGCAGGTTACGATTTTTGGTAGTGCTGGTTAGTTAATTAGCTTTGTTTGTTTGTTTGTTGGATAGTAGGATAACTCAAAAAGTTGTGAACAGATTTTTATGGATTTTTTACCAGAGGTGTGTCTTAGCCTAACTTGAGGTGAATGATCCAAATAGCGTAGTCATGCAGGGGGCACCTACCTCCTCCAGGAGAGGGTGAGAGAAACTGACGAAGGCCTTGTGGAGCTTGCTGGGGCTGACGCTTTCGTCCGCCCACTGCAGCCGACCCAAGATCTCCTCCTCGCCGCTGCCATTGAAGTTTTACAGCGTTAGTTACTCTCCAGTAATAATAACTTCTTCGAGGTGAATATAATTGGAAACGCACACACACACGCACACATACACGCACACACACAGCACACAACACACACACACACACACACACACACACACAACACACAACACACCACACACACACACACACACACAACACACACCACAACACACTCACACACACACACAACACACACATCACACACACACACACACACCCACACACACCAACACACCCCTCTCCTCTCCTCTCCTTCCTGTACATCCCTCTCTCTCTCCCTCTTACTCCGCCTCGTCTCTTCCCTGCTATTCCCTCTTAACTTCGCCCTTCTACTTCTCCTCACCCCCCTGGACTCGCCCTCGTTTAGCTCTGCAACACAATATTCCCTGCTTGCTCTCTCCCTACTACTCCCTCTCTCTTTCTCTGCCCTTGTGCTTGAGCTCCCTCTCTCCTCGTCTCCTCTAACTCCTCTCTCCCTCTTACTCCCCTCTCTCTTCCTTTGACTCTCTCTCTCACTCCCTTCTTGTCTCTCTCTTCTCGCCTCCTCTCTTCTTATCCCTCTCTCTCTCTCTCCACTCTTTATTCCCTCTCTCTCTCTCTCCCTCTCTCTCTACTCCCTCTATCTCTCTCCCTCCTTTACTCCCTCCTTCTCGTCTCTCCCTCTTACTCTCTCTCTCACTCTCATCTCTCCTCTCCCTCAACCCTCTCCTCTCTCACTTACCCTTCCTTCTCCCTTACCCTTACCCTCATTTCTCCCTTACCCCTCTATTCTCTCTTTATCCTTCACCCGCAACTCTCCCTTATCCTCACCGCATTCTCTCCGCATCCTCACCCGCATTCTCTCCCTTATCCTCACCCTCGATTCTCTCATCATCTCTCCCTCAATTCATTCTCTCCCTTACCCTCACCCTCATTCTCTCCCTTACCCCACCCTCATTTCTCTCCCTTACTCTACACCTTCATTATCTCCCTTACCCTCACCCTCTCCTTCTCCGTTCATTCTCTCTCTTACCCTCACCCTCTCACACTCACTCTCTCACACTCACACACAACCCCTCCTTACCTTGGGCTGTCACCGTCCCAGTTGAATTTCACGAAAGCGTCGATGTTCTTCCTCGACCTCTTGTAAGACCCGTCGAGGAGGACAGTGCGGTAGGGCTGCGAGAACTTGCCCTTCAGCTTGTGCTCCTTGGTGAATCCCTGGGAAGACGAGAAGAAGAGTTGTCAAGGAGGATATGAAGTGAAGTCAAGGAGGAGATGAAGGGACGTCAAGGAGGATATGCAGTGAAGTCAAGGAGGAGATGAAGGGATATCAAGGTTGAAAAAAAATGTCAAAGATGGTAAGAAGGGATGTCGAAGATGAAAAAGAGGGATGTTTTTGAAGTCAAGAGATGTCAGAGATGCCAAGATGAGATGTCGATGATAAGAGATGTCAAATACGGCAAGGCGATATGTTAAAAACGATAAAAAGTGATGTCAAAGACGGTAAGGTAAGGGAATGGCATTGTGCATGATTAGTATAAGAATACTTCTCTTTATAAAAAGAAAAATTTTGTCTCCTTTTTATCTTATCTTATTAAGATATAAGAATATTTTGATTTACTTCATTTTCTATGGCAGTTACTGAAATACCACAACTTTAAAATATGCAAACTAGAAAAAAAAACAATAAACGAAAAAAGACTACAATCCACTCATTTCTTTCTATCACAACTACAAAACGAACCAAAACATTAAAAAACAAGACAACAGCAAAAGACAAACACTACTTCTAAAAATACCACAGCCATTGAGACCCACCCTCGACATGTCCTCCCAGACGATGTTGAACTCGATCCTCTCCTGCTCAGACCACGAAAGAAGGAAGTCCATGCTGAAGTTCCTTGACGTCAGCACATATCCTGCGGCCAAGACGATCTCCCGGCCGAGAGCATTACCTGCAACACACGGGACGGATGAAATGGGTTCTTTTAGTGTGTGTTGCGGGAGTGGGGGAGAGGGTGATGTGAGGAGCCACAAATAATGACGGAGATGAAAGGCGGGATGGGATGGGGAGGGATGGGTGGGAAAGAGGGAGGAAGGAAAGAGGGAAGGAGATAGATATAACGAGTATTAATATCGGGAAAACTGACAGACAACGCACGGAGGAAAGGAAAGTAAAAGGAGGGAAGGAATGGAAGATGAGAGGGATGGAAAGCAGAAGAATGTAGAAAGGAGAGAGAGAGAGAGAGAGAGAGAGAGAGAGAGAGAGAGAGAGAGAGAGAGAGAGAGAGAGAGAGAGAGAGAGAGAGAGAGGGAGAGAGAGGAGGGAGGGAGAGAGGGAGGGAGGGAGGGAGGAGGAGGGAGGGAGGGAGGAGGAGGGGGGAGGGAGGAGAGAGAGAGAGAGAGAGAGAGAGAGAGAGAGAGAGAGAGAGAGAGAGAGAGAGAGAGAGAGAGAGAGAGAGAGAGAGAGAGAGAGAGAGAGAGAGAGCATGAGAGAGCATGACAGAGAAAAAAACACGTCCTCGAAGTGGAAATAAACCATAGTGCCAAAGTATTCTGGTCCCTGCCATACCTTTGACAGAGAAATGTCTTCCCGACTGAGCAGAATTATGGGCAAAGGAGACGCTGATTCGACTATCATCGTTCTGCAAATCATACAGTTCCAGTGTTGTCACTCTCTGGAAAAGACAAAAAACATCACCCAATGAGCATCCGTATTAAACATCCCACAAAAAATACTTAAAAAACTTCAAAATTGTCCCATAGATCTCATAAAGGTCTCCCGCAAAAACTCCTTCACGATATATTTCAATTCTTCCATTAAAAAAAATGAAGCTAAAACAATCGACGCCAGAGCCTAATAGTTACACGTATAAATCACCACCAAACAAAAATCTCATAAAACATAAAACGAAACAAAAAAATATAACCAAATAAATAAGATACGTTAATAAATCAACCAAAACAACTGACGATTAATTTTTTTTTTAATGAAGAATTTCAACCGAATCAGCCAATCGCCGACCCACCTCCCGCTCGGTGTCGGACTTCTGCTTGGTCTCCTTGGTCGACGAGATACCGAAGGGCCACAGGAAGTTGTCGAACTCAAACGACGTCCTCTGCTTCAGGATGCCGTCGCTCAGCACCACGGTCACGCGATCGGCCTTCACGCTCATGGCGAGGACACCGTAGGACACGCCCATCACCACCCGCACGTCGCCGCTCGAAGGGAACTGGTTGGGAAGGAGGGAGGGGCGGCTTTGAATGCGTCGGTCAAGGAGGGTTGGTAGGTGGATGGCGTTGGAAGGGTGAAGGATGTCCGATGGGTGAAGGATGTTTAGTGGCTTAAGAATGTTGGAAGGGTAAAGGATGTTTGATGGGGGAAGGATGTTTGATGGACGAAGGATGTTGGAAGGGTCAAGGAAGCTTGATAAGACGTATATAATCTCTTGAATTGAATGTGAATGGAAAGATTCTCGGCCAGGTGATTAGATCTTGTGGCTACAGTATTATTTGATATATTGATATATGTCAGATTCACACAGTTATGATTTAAACTAATGCCATGAGGAAATAAGGTGTTTTCAGATTAATTACCAATAAATGGACGTTTTGTTAGTTTTAAATCTCCATCTATCACATAACCAACGATATGTTCACGGCAAAATACGCTACAATCATAAGATAGAGTATATTAATGTGAACACATCGGAGCAAAATAAACACAGGAAGACGACCCAAAACACCTTGCATCCCATACCTTGAACTCATAGCTAATCTGCACAGGCTTGCCCATCGTAAAGGAACCTGTGACTTGGAGCGCCCCTTGGTGTCCAGACTCTAAGAAGTTATGCTTGAGGGAGGCGTGGACGGGATTACGTTCCCAGGGTGACGTCGAGTTGTGCTTGGAGGGCCACTCTAAATGGTAGTCGCCCTCGTAGCCATCCATCGTCAGTTCCTGCAGGTGTGCTTTCGTTAGGATTTACGTACTGTGTGGTTACTGCTGGATATTCCTTCATATAAGATATTCCTATTGGATTTTTTATTGATTTGCTTCATTATCGCCGTACT